TCTTTTTTTTTTTTTTTTTTGGTACCAGGGATCAAACTCCGGTCCTTGTGCATGCAAGGCAGGCGGTGGCACCACTGAGCTAAATCCCTGGCCCCTCCAGCAAACCTCTTTACCTAACTCCAACACTGATGTGCTTTTCTGTCAACACTCTGCTTGGACAGCTGTGCCCCTGGCTTTTTCAGAAGCCCTCATTTACTTTGCCTAGACATGTGCAAGTCTCAAGAATTTGGTCTCCTTCAAAGGGTAGATGACCTTTGGTTTTGGTCTGGATCAGGAATGTCCCACAAAGGCTGACGTGTTAAAGGCTCACTCCCGTATGGTGTTGTTGGGAGGTTGTGGAATCTTTTAGAGGCAGGGCCTAGTGGGAGGTTATAGTTCACTTGGAGGGTGTCTGTGAAGGGCACTGTAGGTCAATAGACTCTTCCTTTCTTTGATATCCTACCTACCAGGAAGTGAGCAGCTTGCTCCACCAGGCACCCTATGCCCTGTGTATTGTCTTGTCACAGAAGAAATGGTGAGTACCAACCAGGGACTGAAACCTGCAAAACTGTCAGCCACAAGTAAATCTTTCCTCTCTTTAAGTTGATTGTTTTAGGTAGTTTGTTACAGTAACACAAAGCTGAACATGTATTCTTTTCTATCTCTCTCCCTCTCTCTCTCTCTCTCTCTCTCTCTCTCTTTGGTTCTGGAGATTGAACTTGGGTCTTTGGGCTTGCAAGGCAGGCAGCAGAATCACTGAGCTAAATCCTCAGCTCCTTGAACATGTATTCCTTGTTCTATTATGTTTAACTAACTCACAAACATCCAACATTTATTAGAAGTTTTAGCTAATAGGGAACATACTGTTTTAATAAGGAAAAAATACAATTCTGTCATCCTTACAGTCATTATTTAGGATATGGCATCTCCCCTGAGGGGAAAAAACCTTGATCTCATAACTTAATAGTTCCAGCCAGGCATGGCGGCACAGTCCTCTAACCCCCATGATTGGGAAGTTGAGGCAGAAGGATCAAGGCCAACCTGAACTACATAGCTGGATCCTGTTTCAAATAAAAACTTCATAGTTCTTAATTATTTTCTGTCTGAAATCTTTTGACAACCCTGGGTCTTTCTAGAATTCCCTGGGTATTATAGGATGATAAAGATAGATTCTTAATTTTTTTTTGGAAGGGAGGGAGGGAGAGAGAGGGATGGGGGAAAAGGAGAGGGGGAGAAGGAGTGCGGGAGAGGGAGATTATTTAGATTATTTACTCTGCTAATAACCTGAGTGGTACAAAAGTGGTCAGAAAGTCCTGAGAATTTTGGCAAATCTATCTTAGTTACTTTTCTTGCTGCTGAGACCAAGTATCTAACACCCAAATTAAAGGAGGAAAGGTTTATTTCAGCTCACAGTTTGTAGAGGTTTCAGTCCATAGTTGGCTGGCTCCAAGGTAGTGTGGCGTGGCAGAAAGGCATCACAAAGGAGAAACAGTTCAGGGCAAAGAGGCAGGAACAGCAAAGCAGCAAGCAGCAAAACAGCAGCAGCAAGCCTGCCTTTATATTTCAATCAGGCTGCAAGCCTATTGATTGGGGCCACCCATACCCACGATGGGGCACTCTTAATCACAGCATCACACCCTTAACCCACATTCACACACCTTAACCCAGCTACTTTTGAAACTCCCCACCCATGACTGCATGAGGCTTTGGGAGAAACACCTAGATACAAGCCATAACGTTCCACCCGTAATTGCCAAAACATTCACGTGCATCCCTTTATGCAAAAGGCATTTAGTCCATCTCTGAGAGTTCTCAAAGTCCTAACATTTTCAACGTTACCGACAAGTTCAAGGCCAAAGTCTCCTCTGAGATTTAAGGCAAACTCTTAACTGTGAGCCCCTATTCAAACGAAATGTCAAACACTTCTAACATACAATGGCACAAGGTAAACATTCCCATTCCAAAAGGTACAAATAGGGAATAGAAGGAAATGAGACCAAAGCAAGTCCAAAATCCAGCAGGGCAAACATTAAGTCCCATAGTTCCACATCCAGCATGTGGGGCAATCTGTGGCAAGATGTAAACTCCAAAAGGCTACAGCGGATGGAATCCTTCCTGGCCCCACAACTCTTGCATACTACCTCCACCTAAAACCAGCACCACGTAGATGACACCAGAGTCCACCATCCACTGGAGCAGTAGCCAGGCTTCCTTCTCTCTTGCCTGTAGAAGTTTAGTGCCTGGATTGCTGAGCAGTAGGAACCACATCCTGAGGAAAAATTTCCCTAGGCCTCTGCCATTCTGGCACAAGGTGCTCTGGGGCTTCCTCCTCAAAGCAAGTATTCCACCTTTGAACTTTTGATGCTCCAAAAGCTGCAGTTCTACTGGTATTTGTGATGTCCTCAGGCCATATTATCTATTGTCCTATTCCTTCTCAACAACCAAGTGCTTCTTTCCTCCATCTTTGCAGTCTGTAACTTTATTGGAGTTTCCTTTCTAGGAAAACTCTAAATATTTTAAATCATTCTGCTGGGCTCTTTGCTCTTAAGTCTCAGCATACATCTAAAAGCCCCCAACAGTACTCATGGCATTTCCTCAACATTAGACTGTCGTGAAATTTATTTTACAAGATTAGTTCTGTGCCAGGCATGGTGGTGCACACCTGCAATGCCAGCAATTGGGAGGCAGAGGCAGGAGGATTGCTATGAGTTCAAAGCCAGCATAGGGTACATAGTGAGTTCAAGGCCACCCTAAACTATAGAGCAAGGCCCTATCTAAAAAAAAAAAAGATTAGTCCATTGCCTTTAATCTCAGTCTCTGGACTTGAGCAAAATGCAAATTTTCTTTCAAAGGGTAACATACACAGTCTGGAGTCCAACAGCCAATATAATCTTCATTCTTAACTGAAATCTCTCGAGCATGGTCTTTATTGGCTGCATTTCTATCAGCTTTCTGGTCTTCTGAACTCTGACCAGAATCTCAAATCAAGTACAAATTAAAGCATTCCAGGGCTTCTTCTTTAATTGGCATCTCCAAAGCTTTCCAAACTCTTTCCACAAGCCAGTTCCAAAACTCTCTGAACCACATGGTCAGGTAGTTATCACAATAATGACTTCACTTCTGGTAACAAAATCTGTCTTTTCTTGTCTAACACCCATAGTTAAAGGAGGAAAAGTTTATTTCAGTTCACAGTTTGTAGAGGTTTCAGTCCATAGTTGGCTGGCTCCAAGGCAGGGCAGCATGGCCAATAGTCTATGGCAAGCAGGATGAAGACAGCAGAGCAGCAAGCAGCAGCAGTAACAGCAGCAGCAGCAGCAGCAAGACCACCTTTATACTTCATCCAGGCTATAAGTCTATTGGTCTCTGCCACCCATACCCAGGGAGGGATCCCCTTAATCCCAGCATCACATGCTCAATCCACATTCACAACCCGTATCCAGCTACCTTAAAAACTTACCATCTATGACCATATGAAGCTTTGGGCAGACATCTAAATACAAGCCACAATGTCCTCAATCCTACACAGTGACATTCAAAGGAACATTTGAGGATGTTTTTAGAACAGTCTCACCCACTCTCTATAGTCACACTGTGTGTTTCTGTACAAACTATAGACCCACCTGGGCTTAGCAGGTCTTAAAGGTGGGCACATCTGTATAACGCACACTGAATTTCACAGCATATAATCCCTTGTCAGGAAACAGTTGAACAGCAACTGCTTAACAGTGCTAGGGCAGTTGTGGCAACCTATGCTATGTATGCCATAGTGGATACACAGAGCACTTGGCACCCAAACCAACTCACCCCAGCATTGCCCAAGCAGCTGAGCATTCAGGTTTAACTGCATTGTTGGTACTTTACAATAAGTAAGTGGGTTTTCGGTTGCAGTTTGGACAATTGACCTCTAAAATACTTGCCAACACTGTACTAAGGGATAAGGGGCCCAATTGGTATTATTTTCAGGTGCACTAGAGATGGTCACAACTTAGGATAAGAGAAAAATTCATGCCATTAAGGACATGAAATTCACAGCATTCAAGACTGGAATACAAGTCCACAAAGCAATACAGCCTTTCCTAGAAAGCTTGGCTAACAGTTAACATAAGGCCAAATCTGGGCTGACAGTTGTTTTCTGCCATACCGCTGTCACTTCTGAGCCAGTCAATCTGGAAACACACACAATTTGGAGCTATCTGTTGATTAATAGACCTTAGCTCTGTTCTCTGTTCAAACTACTCTTCACAACAATCAGAAGAAAGATAAAACATGATTTAATCAATAAGGCTCCTAGTATAATATGAACCAAACCAATTTATTTTAGTACTTGGGTCAGGTCGTATAGAAGATGAATAAATTCAACACATTAAACCACTGAATATCCCTGAAAAAGGAAACCATCTCAGTAAGCTGCCAGTAGAACTCCATTTAGGGCATCATGGCCAAAAATAGGTCATACCTACAACTAAAACATCCATGAAGAAGTGACATCTTCTGATAGCCTCAGAAACTTAGGTTCCATTCAAGCACTAGAAAGAAAACAAAGGGATGCTTTCCCTGAGACGGTGGAATAGCTGATACATACTATGGAGGCCAGACAGTGGGCCAAGCTGAGATAGCTTTTGTTGCAAAGTCTAGCAGGGATAAAATGGACAAATATGACTTCAGTCCTGAAAGCATCCACTATATACAGCTTTCATAGGAAATTTCCCCAGTGTGTCCACATGGATGAACCGACACCCCCTTATAAAGCCCACTGTCACAGTCCCTCTCTGCTATATACAGCTGTGTTCAACAAGGCAGATGCATATTCTTTACATTCCTTTCTCTGGTGTGAATTTTTTGATGTTGAATGAGGGTGCGCTTTTGGCTAAAAGCTTTGCCACACTCACTGCACTTATAAGGTCTGTCTGGTTTATGAACTATTTGGTGTTCACTCAGATTCGACCTTTGTCTGAAGGTTTTCCCACATTCGCTGCACTCATAAGGCCGTTCACCAGTGTGAAGCCTGCGATGATTACTGAGGGTAGAGTTTTGGGTGAAGGCTTTCCCACACTCAGTGCACTTATAAGGCCTGTCTGGTTTATGGACTATTTGGTGCTGCCTCAGATTTGAGCTTTGTTTGAAAGATTTCCCACATTCACTGCACTCATAAGGCCTTTCATCAGTATGAAATCTCTGATGGGCTTTGAGGCTGGAGCTTTGGTTAAAGTATTTTCCACATTCATTGCACTGATAAGGGCGTTCACCAGTGTGAAGTCTGTGATGGATCTTGAGATGGGAGATTTGGCTGAACATCTTCCCACATTCAGTGCACTTATAAGGCCGTTCACCAGTGTGAACCCTCTGATGGTTCATGAGGTTGGAGCTTCGACTGAAGACTTTCCCACATTTATCACACTCAAAAGGCTGTTCTCCCGTGTGAACTCTCTGGTGTTGGGTGAGATTGGAGATTTGCCTAAATGATTTCCCACATTCCTTGCACTTATAAGGTCGTTCTCCTGTGTGAACTCTCCCATGCTTAACTAGGCTGGAGTTGCAGATGAAGAATTTCCCACATTCTCTGCACTCATGAGTACGTCTACCAGTGTGAATCCTCTTATGTTGAAAAAGGCTGGAGTGTTGGCTAAAGAATTTTCCACATTCATTGCATTCATATGGCTTTTCACCAGTGTGAATTCTCTGATGTTCCACAAGACTGAAGTGCCGGCTAAAAAATTTCCCACACTCACAGCACTCATAAGGTTTTCCTCTATTGTGAACTCTCTGGTGTTGCTTGAGGCTGGACGCATCACTAAAGATTATTGCACATTTCGTGCACTCATGGGGCCTCTCTCCAGTGTAGACTGTCTGTTGATGAACAAGTGTGGATATGTTACTGAAAGCATCCCTAGCAGTGGGAGAATCTAATGCACCTTCAGAATTCTTGTGTGCCTCCTCCACACTGGGAGTGATCTGATGCTGTACAAAGCCCGATATGGCCACAAAGTCCTCCCTGCTCTCCCCACACGTGAAAGGTTTCTGTGATGTGTGGTCAGCACAGGTCTTTCCAGGAGAAGCCCTATCCTCCTCCTTTCTGGCAGGCTTATCTGCATTTTTTTGCACCTGTTGCTGGGGAAGGTTTCTGTTGAACTTGAACACTGTCGTACTTGTTTCACACATGTAGGGCTTCTGCCTGGCATGTGCTGTTTGATGTTCAACCAGGTACAAAATGTCTCTCAAGCGTGGGCCACATGTGTCACAGGGGTAGGTCTTCTGTATGGACAGAGCTGTCTTGGGATTCCCATCCTGTGATATTTCTTGTACAGAAATATTTTGATCAGAAGGTAGCTCCTTGAGCTCTGTTCCACAGCAAAAATCTACAAGCAGAGAAATTCTGATCAAGTCATATAAACTTTGATAGAAGGAAATCACCTCATCACATATGCCTCTCTGACTCCAGAATAAGTCCTTGAGAACCTCAGGTCAAGACCAGGAATGGTTGGCTTTCTACACTACCATGTCTGGCCAGGCCACAAAATAGGAAAGGTCTGTACCACAGGATGGAGTAAAATCTTGGGAAGAGAGGCAAGGTCTCTAACTCACTTCTCTACAAAGGCCTTGGGGCAGGGCATTGGCTTCTGGGAAACTATGAGGGCCATGATGCAGGTAGGAATGGACAAGCCCAGGAGAATCTGATTACAATAATGATGTTCAAGGAGATCAAAGAAACTTGCTCTTCTCAGGATATATGAGGTGGAATCCAACAGTGCAAAATGGGGCAGAGGTTATTGTGCAAAGACTGAGACATGCAGGCCAGAAGGGTGGGGCCACAGAGCAAAGATTCAAATAGGCAAGGTCTCAAGAATGGGGAAAAAAAGGTAGAAATGAAGCATGAACATGAGCCTTCACACCAATAACGATCAATATAAGAAAAGAAACCAGTGCGATTTGGACACAGTGATGATTTCACATCCCTGCTCCCCCAGCTCTGACTTACCAGAGCTAGGCATGCCCAAAGCCCCTCTTTCCATGGCTGAAGTCATAGCCACTCTGTCAGGCATCCAGGGTTCTTTCCCCATCTCGAGTGGGACAACAACATGGCACCTGAAAGACGTGAGCCCTAAGGGAAAGATGAGCAGGTCACCTGCCAACACATGCCCAGGAAAGGTAACCCAGAAGAGACTCCAGGAAAGAAGACTCAGTATACAAACTGTACATACAAGCAAGGTCTGACAGGCATATCCCAGTGATCTGTAGGCAGGGACCAAATTAATTTCTCGAATTCTGCACTGTCTTGTGTAGGACATGTTAGCAAAGGAAGGAGCAGAAACTAGAGCACAGAGGTATAGAGACCTGGACAGTCACCGAAGAGAGGACAGATGGGCTCTATGGGGCTGACCAAAAGGCTCCTCCTGCTTGGTCCTTACCTGCACAGCTTTGGGAAACAGATGTGAAGTTGCTCAGGAAGAGGTGAACCCACTGGAACCCACCCACAAGATGCACATTATGAAAGTAGGGGAGGAAGCAGACTGGCAGAGTTGGCATCAGAAGGGAAGAGCTCTCTGATGCAGCGGGGACAGGTAGAGAAAAGCTCAGGACAGCTGGACAAGTGTGACGGCCTTACCCAGAGAGGCTATGAGTGCAAAGTTCTCCAACATCACATCGCAGTACAGGAGTCTCTGTGCCTCGCTGAGCAGCCCCCACTCGTCCTGGGAGAAGTAGACGGTCACGTCTTCAAAGGTCACACAGCCCTGCTGTGATGGGGACAGTTCATTATTTGATTAGCCTCCCTCTTTGTTCTCTACTCACCCTCCTCCATCACCCTTCTTCTCAGCTCCAACGGGACCCCAGACCCTGATTACATTAATCTTGCCTTTGTTTAACACCTCACATGACCACCTTGTGAGCCCACAGCAGCGACAGGCAGACGACAGGGTCACCATCTAAGGTCTGGGCCTGAAGTGTAGGGCCCAACCCCTCTTTGCTGGCCCATTTTCCTAATGTTTCAACATTCTACTCCTCAGACACAAACCAACAAGGTCTCAGTCTTCTCCCCCAGTCCACAATCCTAAGGGTATATTGTCTCTAACCCCCAAATAAAGACTGTATCTGCCTTCTCCTACTTATATCCCAGAGGAGGTCGCTTGGGCTCTGGCCTGTGGTTACACTTGGGTGGCTCAATCAGCAAATGTTCTTCCTCTCCCCTAGTCGGTGGAATAGAAAATTATTAATGAATTACATGCTTCTTGCCATTTAAATTAAAACTGACTATACCAAGCATGCAAACACATTTAGTGGCAGTGGGCTTCACATATCACAAGCTTAGCTGTATGAGTTCTCCCAATACCCTCCCTTCGTGTCTCCAGCACAAAGACACGGACGATGCCCAGGTGAGAATTGGAAAATAGATTTCACCCAACTGTTTCTGTGCCAAGGGTTTAGATATCCAGTAGTCCTCATTGATACCTTTATATGACGGCTAGAAGCCTTTCCCACCAGGTCTGAACAGGCTAAAAGAAGGGTTCAAAGCAGTTCTCCAAGAAATCATTCCTTGATTCAGACCTTCCAAGTCCCTCCAAAAGGATACAGCCCATCTTTCATTTCCTAGGTGATACAGTTGGGGACTAAGGTTTGGGATTTAAATATTACCTTCATTCCTCTTGCAGACCTTGAATAAGCCACTCAACATTATGACTACAGAAAAAAAAATCTATGACAAGAAACTGACCTCTCATGTAAGGTCATCTTACCTATAGAATAATCTTACCTATGAGATTTTTCATAGGCCCACTGCTGCACTGGGCCTTATCCCATTTGAAGGATTACATGGTCGGCCTTTCTTGTATACAAACGTCCTACTACATGTAGAGGCTCATACTGGGCCAACGTGTGTCTACATTCAATATTTTCAATAGGCAACTAAGGACCGTGGATTTTAAGTATTGTCATAAATATTCCAAGAACCTCAGGAGCCCCTGTGTCAACAGCTAACTCCTCTCTGGAAGGGTACTTCTCTCCTCTATAGCCATCAAGGGATTTGATGCTGGACTAGTCATTCCCAAGCCAAACCATGGAAGAAAGAACCTGCACAAGACGATCCCTTAAGTATCTGTTAAAATGAGCACCAGATAAGTAAACGCCCCACCATTCCACCCCACATTCCAACAGAAGGCTATGTGCACTTTGGGTATTACTCTTTTAACCATAAATTTACTGTAATTACCTTTCTATTCCTGTGTACTTACTTCTAGGTGATATGGGCCCACCTGCTGCTATTTATAGTAGGCCTTATAAAAAGAAAATTGTTTATAGTAAGTTCAGCTGCCATCTTCCCTGTTTTTTTACTCTGGTCACATTATTATGATATTATCAGATGTGACCAGAGCAACAATATTTTATCATTTGTTTTGGGTTTTTTTTTCTGCCCATAATCTGCCAGCTGAAGAAAGACAACTGCTTTCTCCTTTTGGCTCAATGGTATGCCTAGGATGTTGAAGCAATGGCTGCTGCTGGATTTGTGGGTTGTGACCCAATTCCTGTACTTCTGGGCTGCACTGGACTTAAGAAAACAAGTCCAAGGCATGCCCCGCCCCCAGTTTTGGAGAATGGTGTGCACACGGCTTTCCCAATCCTCATAATGGAAACAAGCCACTGACTATTTTAACTTTGCTCCTTTTACTTAGGCTTTGTATTTTAGGTTGCTTCCTTAACTTCATCTCTCCTTTCCACCCCTTCCCACTCATCCACATAAGACCCTCCACTCACTCCCTCGTCCCGAAATTCACCAACAGTGAGAGCCCCAAGTCTCTCAGGCGCCCCTTCTCAGCAGGAAGTAGCTGAAATAACACGGTGTCCCACTGCCCTAAAAGATTTGAGAGCCCCAACTGGAACAGGGGAATGTGAAGCAGGAAGTTAGACATGCGCAGGCCTGGAGGCAGGCTGATGGCAACTACTCCAGAAAGGTACACGAGAAGCCTTGAACAGATAACGGTCCCAACTTTTCCTTTCTTAATCATTAGCTACAGTTAAATTCCAAACAAGGTTATGATCTCTATCTATGGCTCTGAGAATGTAACCTGCTCTGAGCTTGCTGGTAAGGTCCAGGGCCGAGGGCTGAAGCCACCCACTCACCTGCACCAGGTCCCTCTGCGCTGACGTCGCCATCGGGCCTAAGGACCCAGCAGGGCCTTCAGAACAGGCGACCGAGGTGGCTCCCTCGGGCTCCGCCCCCCGCCCAACCTGTCACATCCTTGGATGCGGGCCGCGCACCCCTGGACACCCGCAGACACCCCAGCTCCAGGGCTCCAGGCGGCTGACGCGAGACGCACCGCCCCTCCCGCTTAACCCCCGG